ATTGTGCTAATTTTATTGTTCCAATTAATAACACATTAAAATGAAATCCCAATCCCATTGTCCCAATAAATAACACTATAAAGTAAAGTCCAAAAATTATCCTACTTGCTCTAAAATTACACCAATCAATAACCCCCTCTAAGGAGTACGGGGACCCCAATTATGGGACCGAGATAGGGAACAGATGAGGTGTCCCCTCCCCACTGCATGAACGCACTGTTCATACAGTGGGGAGGGGAGACCTCACCTATGTCCTACTCCGGTCCCATATTTGGGGTCCCCTTAGCGCAACTCCTACCCTCTAAGACAAGAGGTCCTGGATGTTGGCCGGAGGAATTTATTATTAAAAAAATTCGGAAAAGGAGAAAATGCTTGTATGACGCATGCTTTTATTATCTACATGGGAAATGCTTGGGGTCTCAAGTCAGATATCATAATGGGCCTATCATAATGTTTGATCAAGATTGTGAAAAATAGCATTTTCATTTATGATTTTGTGAAAATTGTGAAAATATTATTAATTTGAGCGCCGCTTGATGGAGGACCGCTTGATGGAGGAGCTCAGGGGGTGGAATAAGAAACTTACCTCTCCTCAGCCATCAGTTCATGAGTTTCCTCTCCTCAGCCATCAGCTCAAAAAATACCAATTTTCTTATTTTTTTTAGTTTGCTTGTTTGGTTTAAAATAAGAAAATGACTCATAACTTTATAGAAAATGGCAAGATTTTCTATAATTTGTAGAAATTGAACCAACTACCCCCTAAATTTATAGAAAATGTTAATTTTATAGAAAAATGTCAATGTGGTGTCAGATTTTTGGGTGATTTTCGCCCATTTTGAGAGAAAATTGATTTCTGTAAATTTTGGTATTTTTTTTGTACTTTAAAGAAAACATTTCTGTAAATGTTTTTTTGAAACAAACACAGTTTACAGAAATCTACAGAAAATATTTAATTACAGAATTATCACTGTCAGACATTTTGAGAAAACTTTTCAATAAAATTATGCAACCAAACACCCCATTGTGCACCCAACTAAAGTTTCACACATCAATAAAGAAGAAAATGTTAGCTCATATTTAGTAGTTCAAATTTTGTGATTACGCCCAAAGCCTTTTCTTTTTTAGATGAGATGCCAGGGAAATTATGTGAAATACTGTAAGGAGCTATTTGGTTTGTTTCCTAAAACTAAGAAAAGGAAAAAAAGCATGGAAATCAATAAAATTTGGTTTTCATCATTTTCCACTCTTAGAAATCTCACACATCAACCAATAATATGGTGACAACTCATCTCATTTTTTATTTTTAAAAATAAACTAAATACAAGAAATGAGTCACATCAATCAACTCATCCAACTCACCGCATCTCATCTCATCTCATCTACTACCATCTTTAAAAATTACTCACATAATCCAATAATATGGTGACAACTCATTCCATCTCATTAAAATTTTCCTTCAATCCATTTCCTCCAAAAAAAAAGAAAATTGATTTTCGTAAGTATGCGTCACATCATCCAATAATATAATGACAGCTCATCTCATCTCATCTATTTTCTTAGTTTTAAGAATGAACCAAACACAGGAAAGGAATCTAAACAAGGAAAGCATTTTCCTTATTTTTTTAGCCAACCAAACACAAGAAAAAAACCCTCAAAATAAGTTTTCTTTAAAAATCACTCACATCATCCAATAATATGGTGACAACTCATCTCAACTCATCTCTTTTTTACTTCTAAGAAGTGAACCAAACATAAAAAAACATCCAATTATGAAAAATTATATTTTCTTTTCTTTACTTTCCATATTTTTTAGCGAACCAAACAGCCCCTAAATTTAGATTTCAGTTTTTGTATTTTAGACGGACGGACAGTATTTGTAGATTGACGAAAAACAGTGATTAGAATTTCTGGAAATTCAAGAAAGACTGCGACTGAACTGGGAAGGGACCATGACCAAAATAAAACACGAAGGTTTCGTCGTCGACCGAGTCGAACCCCCTTTGACTAGTCCTCATCAAATCCGACGGACAAGATCCAATGGACAAATATCCAACGGCGTACAACTCGTCCCTCCACCGTACTAGACCTCCTGCCACCAACGGTCACGATCAAAGTTGACACCGACTCGGCACTTGCCCAATGGGGTCCCAGAGCAAGCTGGGTCTTTTTTTGGGTCATAGACATCTCGGTACGAATATAAATTACCTTCTCTCCTCCTCCTCCTCAGCCTCATCCCCTCTCTTTTATTTATCGCTGCTGAAGCTCCGACGAGCAGAGCAGCAGGGGAATAACTCGACGAGCTCCCTCTACAAAAATGAATTTGCAAATAGTAACCCTGCTTCTATTCTTTATTTTATTCAGCCAATCGCAGGCCGCCACGATACCTCTGGGGTCCACTCTAACGCCGACGAACTCCAGCAGCTGGACTTCCCCTGATCGCACGTTTTCGCTCTCCTTCATCTCTGCCCCTAAAAACCCCAACAATTACACGGTTGCCATCGTTTACTCCGGCGGCGTCGCCGTCCGATACCTCTGGGGTCCACTCTAACGCCGACGAACTCCAGCAGCTGGACTTCCCCTGATCGCACGTTTTCGCTCTCCTTCATCTCTGCCCCTAAAAACCCCAACAATTACACGGTTGCCATCGTTTAGACGGTCATCTGGCAGTCCTTCGATCATCCGATCGATACCATCCTCGAGAACCAAAACCTCACCTTGGGCCAAAATCTCAGATCTGGACCCTACAATTTCTCTTTGCAGGACAGCGGAAACCTAACCCTAAAATGGAGCCAGGGCAATTCCGTGATTACGTACTATAACAAGGGCCTCAACTCTAGTTTCAGCAACACGTCGCTGAATGCCCCAGTTCTTGTTCTTCAGTCTAATGGGATCCTTTCGCTGCTCGATAGCTCGCTGCCGAGCTCCGCCGTGATCGCTTACAGTAGTGATTATGGTGAGAGTGGACAGATGTTGAGGTTCCTGAGGTTGGATTCTGATGGGAATCTTAGGGCTTATAGTGTTCCGATAGGAAACGCTACCCCTAACGATCGATGGGCGGCTGTCGATGATCAGTGCCAGGTCTTCGGATGGTGCGGCAACATGGGCATTTGTAGCTACAACGATACGTCGCCGATCTGTGGCTGCCCGTCGCAGAATTTCGAGTTCGTTGATCCGAATGATAGTACTCAGGGGTGTAAGAGGAAGACCGAGATCCAAAATTGCCCGTCGAGTCAGCAAATGTTGGAATTGGATCATACCCAGTTTCTGACTTACCCGCCTGAGGTCTCCACAGAGCAGTTCTTTGTGGGTATCACTGCTTGCAGGCAGAATTGCCTCTCTGGAGGTTCTTGTGTTGCTTCCACTGCGCTTGCTGATGGTTCAGGGCTTTGCTATCTCAAAGTTTCGAACTTTGTTAGTGGTTATCAGTCGTCGGCTTTACCCAGTACTTCCTACGTGAAGGTTTGTGCTCCAGGTGCGCCTAATCCTCCTCCATCGGAATTGGGTCAGTCGCAGTCTAGGTCGTCGAAATTGAAAGCTTGGGTGGTGGTGGTTGTCGTTGCAGGCACAATTCTTGCTTTGATTGCGCTTGAATATGGGCTATGGTTTTGTTTCTGCCAGAACAGCCCCAGGTTTGGGCCATCTTCTGCTGAGTACGCTCTTCTTGAGTACGCTTCTGGCGCTCCGGTGCAGTTCTCATATAAAGAGATGCAACGGTCGACCAAGGGGTTTAAGGAAAAGCTCGGGGCTGGAGGTTTTGGTGCTGTTTATAAAGGAGTGCTTGCAAATAGGACTGTTGTGGCAGTGAAGCAGCTTGAGGGGATTGAGCAAGGAGAGAAGCAGTTTAGGATGGAGGTTGCTACTATAAGCAGTACCCACCATTTGAACCTTGTGAGATTGATTGGGTTCTGCTCTGAAGGCCGGCATCGCTTGCTAGTGTACGAGTTCATGAAAAACGGCTCCTTGGACGCGTTCCTCTTCTCCGGGGAGTCGTCGGGAATGTTAAATTGGGCAGCGAGATTTAAGGTAGCTATTGGTACGGCAAGAGGGATCACTTACTTGCACGAAGAATGTAGGGATTGCATCGTGCATTGTGATATTAAGCCTGAGAATATTCTTTTAGATGAGAACTACAATGCTAAGGTCTCGGATTTTGGGCTTGCGAAGCTAGTCAACCCTAAGGATCATCGGCATAGGACCCTTACCAGTGTGCGAGGGACTAGGGGATACTTGGCACCCGAATGGCTTGCAAACCTCCCCATCACATCAAAATCTGATGTTTACAGCTATGGAATGGTTTTATTAGAGATTGTGAGTGGGCGACGCAATTTTGATGTGTCGGAGGAAACTGGAAGGAAGAAATTCTCTCTTTGGGCTTACGGTGAGTTTGAGAAGGGGAATATTGAGAACATTGTCGATAAGAGGCTTCTTGAATCTGATGTGGATATGGAGCAATTGGATAGAGCAGTTCAGGTGAGCTTTTGGTGCATCCAAGAGCAGCCATCTCAGAGACCAACGATGGGAAAAGTCGTTCAAATGTTGGAAGGAATTATGGATATTGAGAGGCCTCCTGCTCCAAAAGCCACTGATGTGTCTGGGAGCAGCACGAGTGGCAGTGTGAATATTAGTAGTTTCTCTACTTTTGCTACTTCGCATCAAGCTGCTTTGTCATCTAGTCATCCAGCTGCTTCATTGTCTAGTTTTGTTCAGCCAACAACAGGTTCAACATCTGAGATTTCTAGGAGAAATTTGGAGAAGGCATCTTCATCGCTTCTTGCACCAAATCAGACTATATAAGGTGTTTGCAATTGTATTATAATACAACAACTTGATATGAATGGCTTATTTCATGGAGGTACGTACGCCTGTCTGTAACTACATCTCTGTGGCAGTTCAGACTGGTTTTGTATAGATGTATTCTTTGTGATGAATTTATAAGCATGCTTTTGTTTGATTAAGATTATATGGATTATATATGGTTCTCTTGGTGAATGTGTGAATGTATGCCCGCCACAGCCGGAAGAGGAGTCGCCGGCGCCGACCTCGACGACTCCGGCAACCTCAAGCTCACCTCCGGCAACTCGACGGTCATCTGGCAGTCCTTCGATCATCCGATCGATACCATCCTCGAGAACCAAAACCTCACCTTGGGCCCCGCCACAGCCGGAAGAGGAGTCGCCGGCGCCGACCTCGACGACTCCGGCAACCTCAAGCTCACCTCCGGCAACTCGACGGTCATCTGGCAGTCCTTCGATCATCCGATCGATACCATCCTCGAGAACCAAAACCTCACCTTGGGCCAAAATCTCAGATCTGGACCCTACAATTTCTCTTTGCAGGACAGCGGAAACCTAACCCTAAAATGGAGCCAGGGCAATTCCGTGATTACGTACTATAACAAGGGCCTCAACTCTAGTTTCAGCAACACGTCGCTGAATGCCCCAGTTCTTGTTCTTCAGTCTAATGGGATCCTTTCGCTGCTCGATAGCTCGCTGCCGAGCTCCGCCGTGATCGCTTACAGTAGTGATTATGGTGAGAGTGGACAGATGTTGAGGTTCCTGAGGTTGGATTCTGATGGGAATCTTAGGGCTTATAGTGTTCCGATAGGAAACGCTACCCCTAACGATCGATGGGCGGCTGTCGATGATCAGTGCCAGGTCTTCGGATGGTGCGGCAACATGGGCATTTGTAGCTACAACGATACGTCGCCGATCTGTGGCTGCCCGTCGCAGAATTTCGAGTTCGTTGATCCGAATGATAGTACTCAGGGGTGTAAGAGGAAGACCGAGATCCAAAATTGCCCGTCGAGTCAGCAAATGTTGGAATTGGATCATACCCAGTTTCTGACTTACCCGCCTGAGGTCTCCACAGAGCAGTTCTTTGTGGGTATCACTGCTTGCAGGCAGAATTGCCTCTCTGGAGGTTCTTGTGTTGCTTCCACTGCGCTTGCTGATGGTTCAGGGCTTTGCTATCTCAAAGTTTCGAACTTTGTTAGTGGTTATCAGTCGTCGGCTTTACCCAGTACTTCCTACGTGAAGGTTTGTGCTCCAGGTGCGCCTAATCCTCCTCCATCGGAATTGGGTCAGTCGCAGTCTAGGTCGTCGAAATTGAAAGCTTGGGTGGTGGTGGTTGTCGTTGCAGGCACAATTCTTGCTTTGATTGCGCTTGAATATGGGCTATGGTTTTGTTTCTGCCAGAACAGCCCCAGGTTTGGGCCATCTTCTGCTGAGTACGCTCTTCTTGAGTACGCTTCTGGCGCTCCGGTGCAGTTCTCATATAAAGAGATGCAACGGTCGACCAAGGGGTTTAAGGAAAAGCTCGGGGCTGGAGGTTTTGGTGCTGTTTATAAAGGAGTGCTTGCAAATAGGACTGTTGTGGCAGTGAAGCAGCTTGAGGGGATTGAGCAAGGAGAGAAGCAGTTTAGGATGGAGGTTGCTACTATAAGCAGTACCCACCATTTGAACCTTGTGAGATTGATTGGGTTCTGCTCTGAAGGCCGGCATCGCTTGCTAGTGTACGAGTTCATGAAAAACGGCTCCTTGGACGCGTTCCTCTTCTCCGGGGAGTCGTCGGGAATGTTAAATTGGGCAGCGAGATTTAAGGTAGCTATTGGTACGGCAAGAGGGATCACTTACTTGCACGAAGAATGTAGGGATTGCATCGTGCATTGTGATATTAAGCCTGAGAATATTCTTTTAGATGAGAACTACAATGCTAAGGTCTCGGATTTTGGGCTTGCGAAGCTAGTCAACCCTAAGGATCATCGGCATAGGACCCTTACCAGTGTGCGAGGGACTAGGGGATACTTGGCACCCGAATGGCTTGCAAACCTCCCCATCACATCAAAATCTGATGTTTACAGCTATGGAATGGTTTTATTAGAGATTGTGAGTGGGCGACGCAATTTTGATGTGTCGGAGGAAACTGGAAGGAAGAAATTCTCTCTTTGGGCTTACGGTGAGTTTGAGAAGGGGAATATTGAGAACATTGTCGATAAGAGGCTTCTTGAATCTGATGTGGATATGGAGCAATTGGATAGAGCAGTTCAGGTGAGCTTTTGGTGCATCCAAGAGCAGCCATCTCAGAGACCAACGATGGGAAAAGTCGTTCAAATGTTGGAAGGAATTATGGATATTGAGAGGCCTCCTGCTCCAAAAGCCACTGATGTGTCTGGGAGCAGCACGAGTGGCAGTGTGAATATTAGTAGTTTCTCTACTTTTGCTACTTCGCATCAAGCTGCTTTGTCATCTAGTCATCCAGCTGCTTCATTGTCTAGTTTTGTTCAGCCAACAACAGGTTCAACATCTGAGATTTCTAGGAGAAATTTGGAGAAGGCATCTTCATCGCTTCTTGCACCAAATCAGACTATATAAGGTGTTTGCAATTGTATTATAATACAACAACTTGATATGAATGGCTTATTTCATGGAGGTACGTACGCCTGTCTGTAACTACATCTCTGTGGCAGTTCAGACTGGTTTTGTATAGATGTATTCTTTGTGATGAATTTATAAGCATGCTTTTGTTTGATTAAGATTATATGGATTATATATGGTTCTCTTGGTGAATGTGTGAATGTATGCAAGTTTTTATCTTATTTTCTATTTCCTAACTTTTGCTTTGTTGTTATCCTAGCTATTATTCTATTGTTTGATCAAGTTTGAGGACTGGGCTGAGAACTTTTGTAATTTCAATCTTTCTGATGCATGGCTTGACATAGTAATGCGAGGTTGTTCAGTATTTAGATTTGCTGACAAATATCAGATCTTTTAAGCAACTATAGAGACATGAACTAGATACCCGTGAGAGCTTTCATACTTTGTATAGAAGGCTCAAGGGTTAAGTTCTTATGTATTCTATGACTCAGTCTTGGCACATTTGGTGGCATATTTATTATCGTCCACCTGAGTACAACTTTTGTTGATTGCATTTGGAAGGTTCAAATGCTGAAGTATATTATAACTTTTGGGAAAGAGAGAAAAAGAAAATTGAGATTTTTTTTTTGAAAGTGAGATAACAAATCAATGATTTATGGAAATTGGGGGCAAAAAAGATTTCCAAGATGTGGAGGGAGTGGATTATGTCTTTAAGATGAGATGATGGGGAAAACACTTTTTATTATTAACTATTAGAGCCCTTGAATTTGCCAAGTGGCAAAAGCATGGACCGGGTTTTTTACTTTATTAGTGTAGTGTTGATATCTAATTATCTTCCTCATTTGCTATATACTTGTGAAATGTGTTTTATCTTGAGTTTAATTTTGAAAATTTTCTGCTATAGTAGTGATGTTTGTTAGTAACATATTCATCTGCCGTAAATACAGTGCACATTGATATTACTGGTTCTATTGTATCCCACCACTGGACGGGAACAAAACTATACACTGTAATAGTTGTGCATGTTATTAGAGTTCTTCTTAGGCTTCTAAGTGTTCTTTTTGTGTGTATGACCTAAGGAGGTAAAGCTCACAAGTGTAGGCATGGATTCTGGCTGATTGTAAAGATGCACTCACAGTCAGGTGGCATGTGGTGTAAAAATCAGTTTGGAGTATTGCATGTGGGCTGAAGGGTCTTTGGACTTTGCTCATGCTGTATCTTATCGTTCAATAATTTTTGTGTGTACACCTTCTCATCAGAAAAATTCATAAAATCTCCCGGAATAGTGAATGATATCGAGTTATCAATATAAAGGTTTTAATCAGTGATGGTGATGCCAAATGGAGGCCATGTACAATGTACCAGACTGTTGGAAATACACCATCATACTGAATAAGAAAGCAAGATAAGTGACTTATGTTGCATTCCTGTTATTGCCTGTATTTGCTGATTTCTGCATTTTATCTATTTCAGTTGACGATTTGCATCTGAGCTCACAATGATGCGGCACATGATTCAAGGATTAGTACTTGTACGGTATGATTCTCTTCTATATTTTGTTGGTATGATTCTCTTCTATATTTTGTTTACTATCTATCTTATTATGAACAGCAACTACTTATGGATTTTTGAGGCCATGCATTTGTTCATTTTTTGCTCAAGCTAAGTCATGCTTCATTGTCATCTACATGGAATTTTCTTGTTCTTTATTTTAGATTTCCTTTTGTTCATTGACTGCATTACGTTTGATTCATTTCTCCCTGGTGAATGATATAGAACATTCTACTATTTGCAACTTCTATTTGTAACTTTTATTATGGTTGTATGTGCTACCTCTCTATGGATTGGTCAGGTTGAGCCCTGGGGCTGAGACTAATCCTTTGTTGTACAAAGGCAAGAGATTGAATTCCTTAACGAGGTCTCTCCAATTTGTAGCTCTTGGAACTCTCAGTAATGTATTTTTAAACTATTCTCTGCTGGTGAAGTACTTTTTACATTTTCCTCTTATAATATGGTTGTTTTAATGGATCCTTAAAAGCTTTATATTTTTCCTTCAAATACTAACCCACACTTTTTTCCCCTCTTTCATTTTCTCGACTCTGATTTGTCCCTTAAAGTCCTTTCTTAGAATATAGCAAATTTGACTTCATGATGCAAAATCTTTGTTAATCTCCATTACCTTTGTCTTGGTTGGAAACTAAAAACTACCAAATAGATGATTTTAATAGAAAAAAACTTAGCGATAAACTTTTAGCTCATATTCTAAAAGAAGAAGAAAATAGATAAATATAAGAGTTCTGATTTATCTAGAAATACTTGTACTATTGTACAAGCTAGTAGAGTACTCTTAAGGCTTTCGAGAAACTTGTTGCATGATTATAGTTGAGTGGATGTTTTTGTACTTTCTTACATCCTGTGAATTTAGGGGAACTTTTTATGAATAATCTTTTCTAACTCAATAATTTTTATCTGCACACCTTAATCCTTAGAAAGCAGAAGTAATGAAAAGTTAAACGAGGTTAGTTGAGGGTATGTGCTATTTGCAAAAAGGTAATGGTGAGTGATATTTAAAGCTATATTTTAAGTCATTCTGGAGAATTCTAGGTCATTGAGTATTCAACCCTTACAGAATAAGAAGGGAAGACAATGAAATGCAATTTATTTGATACTCATGTCATTGCCTCTTCTCACTGAAATTCTTATTATCTTTGTTTTAGTATATAAGAAGAAAAGGCAGTTAGTGAGATTTTTTTTGTCTGGAACTTCTCGCAGGTTCCCTGGTAGACCTGAAAGGTTTATTAATAAGGAAAAAAGATTACTTTTTGTAGGGAATCGTTCCCTCACAAAAAAAATATGGCGATAAATAAACAACGGAGACTCTCCCCTTACAAAGATTGTAGCAAAAGTAAATTTTCCTAATGGAAAGGTATCCTTGAGCATCAATAATCACAGAAACTTTTATTTTGTCGTGTAGATCATTGATAACATGCATTCTAAAATCATTTCCAGATTCATAAGATAATTTTGCAAGAGTGTCCACACATTGATTGACTTCTCTGCAACAATAGCTGTAAACAGTTCGTGAGACTTAGAACATACCATAATACTGGAATTTATGGATTCATCCCTGGTATAATTCTTCCATTTTAATTTAATTTGATTTAATTTTATTACTTTCTGTATTATAGAATGAACAGTTAGGTATGCTTGTAAACCTTTGTAAAGGAGAGGAGGAAAAAAAAAAAAAGATAAGCGTGCAGATGATTTTTGCTAGTTCGTTCTGGGCTTGTATGTTTTCTCAATAAAAGTCTTTTCTTCTACATGGATTGGTTTTAGTTTCTTGGCTAATTTTCTTATTCTACAGGTTGATAAACTTATTCTTAGCTTGTGCTTTAGCTATTTGACGTATCTAAAAGCTGTATTGCAATAATTTAAGGTCAAAATCTTTGATTGACTTGTCAATGCCTATGTCTGAATATCTCAATGTAAATTCATGTATTTTACCTATATCCATATCCATAACTTATTATTGAAAAATAAGATATCTGTGTCCTTTTGCAACCCTATTTATTCCTCAACAAACGTTATCAAGTACAAAGTGTAACTTGTGCAAACTGCTTATGAATAAAAGGATTAAAAAGACAACTATTCCCTTTATTATTATTTCTACTTGCTTAGGTCAAGAAAATAGGTGAGCAGCAAAAGCAAGGTCAATGAGAAAGACATTATTTGATTTGTCTATTACTCTACAAAGTATATTAGTAGCAAAAGAAAGGTCAAGGAAAAGGAAATTTAAATTGTTTGTAAGCTAAAATAGATTACTAGAAAAAGAAAGGTCAAAGAAAAAGACTTGTATATCATTCATATTCTTGTGATACATGTTCAAGCATAGCTACGCGATTCGTTGGACCCCCCTCGAACTGTCGAACAGTTCATGTGAACCGATTTCCTGTACATTTTCAAACCGATCCCCTCCGATACACGAATTATATCCCCAAAATTAGCGTACCGCTTACTAAGTACCAAAGTTGATTTACAAGTCTATTTCGTGCACACCGGCAAGGATTTTTTTATATGTTTCGACAATATCATTGAAAATATTCTTTTAGTAAGTGGAAGTTATCCAAAATTAATAACTAATTCTATATCACTATTTCTTTAACTGAAATATATATAGAGACAAAGATAATAAATTATCAATATGAGCGAATGACTTTATTATAACTTACAAAATAGCTATGTTAATAACACATGAAATGAAATAATCATCTCAGTAAAAACTATGTGAAAAGATTTTTTTTTTTAAAAATGAACTCTAAAGAACAGAAAAAAAAGAGTTGAAACACATAATTAGTTTTCTAGTGTTTTTAGTTTATGTATTCAGAAACTTTACAAATGAAGTATTGAAGTATTTTATATGAAAAAAATATTGAAACACATAATTAGTTTTCTAGTTTCTAACTTTCTACTATACACTTTGAAAAATGATAAACATACCCAAAAAAATTACATCATACCCTATATCGAACTTGCGTATCGAAGCAAGCCACCCCATCGAAGCCAAAATTTCAAAGTCTCGAATTGCGTACCCGAATTCGTACGACGACTCGCGACATTAAAGATTAGAACTTCCTCAGATGCAAAACGGTGGGAAAACTTTTAACTCGCAACTTTACTTCTGTAAGGCTCCTCTTTGCAATAGCTCAACATTAAAGATATCACTTTATTAATAATAATCATCTACATTCTAATGGACAATTATAAATTTTTTCTTCAGTAGAAGTGAAAATCTACAATGATCTTGCTTCCGCTGCTGTAAGGCTCCCGTAAGGTTCTTGTGTTGCTTCTGTTAGATATTTTGTTAAGAAAAGACAATGTTGCCTTCATGAATAGTAATAAAATTTTGTAATTAAAACATGTTTTAATTAGCAATTAAAAATATGTGTAACGGCTATATAATTATGGGGAACGTTACAAAATTTATGACGAACGTTACCGTATTAATTGCGGGTTTTGTAACGTCTCTTTCCAACACCATATATATATAGTCGTATGTTGAGCTCGGTTTTGATAAGAAAAACAACAAGTCTCTTCTCTCATCTTCATATTATTTTTTCATAGTATTGGTTTTATTTTTGGGCAACTTTTTTTAACTGAGCAGAAGCTCTGTACTC